AATAAAAACAGTAATATCAATACATGATCGAAAAAGATTTCTTCCTACCTACAACCATGTATAATAAATATGTCGACTGAATTTGTGTGATGTGTTGCGTAACTATTAATTCATTTTCATATTTAAATATTTAAGATATTATATTTATATTACAAAATAATATATTGTTTCTTGCATTTTTAATTAAAAACCAAATATAAATTCAATGCAAAATAAACAAAAACACAATAAATAAAGCAGGAGTTGATTCGGGGTTTAATGCATTAGAAAAATAATGATTTTTTTTAAGTGCTATTTCGTTGGTCGACATATAGTACAATTTAAGTTTGTATTGTTACGAAATGTATAGGCGCGGTAAGATGGCTTCCCCGCAAAGCAGTTTTAGGGTTGCCATAAAATGGCAAAGGAGGACAGGGTTGCCCCATTTGGCGAGAAATCGCCCATTTGGCGGTATACCATGGACGATTGAGAACCTTCTGGAACGAATTCTTACCGGTTTAGCCCAGAATGCTCCCGAACACAAGCCGAAAGCTATATAAACCCTGCTGGTCCGCAGTCAGTCAGTGTGCTTCATCGAGAGGTAGTGTGTCTCTCATCAAGAGTGTGTGAGCCTCGTCTAGCGAGTCAATCCCTGCGGAGTCGATCGAGTTGACAGCCGGACAGCGAGCGCCGAGTGGGTCGTCAAGTCCACTGAAGGAGTCTGTTAGTGTATCGCAGTTAGTGCATCGTCGAGAGAGCGTGTGGAGCTCCGGGAAAGACTGAACCGAAGAGTCAGGAGCTGTGCTCGTGTGTCGTCGAGTGCATCGCGAGTTGTAGCGTGGAGAGTCTCGAGAGTACGTAGAGTTCCGAGAACGACCAAGCAGAGTCGGGAGCTGTACTCCGGAAAGCAGAGTCGGGTGCTTTGCAGGAAGCTATCTCCACCGTGATAGCCTGATAACCTGAAGGCTGTGTCGCCGATTGTTCCAGCGTGTTTATAGTAGATCTTCGACGACTGTAAGACGTGTTTCGGAGCTGTCCTGTTAATACTAGCTAATAAAGTGGGTTTCGATACTTCATCCAGTGTCGTCGTTATTCACTCCAAATCTACGAACCCCGTACGGACGTGAAGTAAGAAAATAACGCAACAGCTGGTGTCAGAAGAATAGGAAAAACGTAACAGTATGTTTATTATATTCCGGTTTACTTGGAATATAAATACGAAAACCTCATTTACATAACTATTCTTTTTACTTCCTTGACATTATTTCCTAAAAAGGCAACAGACAATGTTTTTCTGTAAAGAATTTTTTAAAAGAATTTTATTTATTTTTTATCTATTTAATTATTATTTATTTTTATCTATTTTTATTTGTTTTTTATCTATTTTTATTATTTTTTTTATCTATTTTTTTATTTATTTTTTATCTATTTTTTTATTTATTTTTTATCTATTTTTTTATCTTATATCTATCCAAACCTATCACTTGCCTGTTCAGAATTGGCCACTCCTAAAGCCAAAATTGGTACCATTTGATTATGTAGGCAGCTAATAGGCGGCCATCGTTGCCTCCTATGAAGGGACGAACAGTTACAACCATGCCTTCTCCTGGATTTGAACCCATGCCATTCGGTATTTAACCTTACACCTAACCACGATACCGCCTAGGCGGGCTTCTCCAGAGAAATGCAGTACTAAATATTTTCAAATATCGAAGTAGTTTGCGTTTATGAAATGGACGAAAGATATTTCTAACGAGTATGATATTCTGATGCTTAACTGCCTACTAGCTAGGTGAACTGTACATGTGAACGTTAAATCCAATGTATCAGATTTATATGAAATGTAATTAATAAATATTCTTACTAAATCTTCAGAAATGTAATTAAATTGAACAAAATTTATAATCACATTTGTCCATATTTGCAACAATTTTGTTTTCTTTTTTTAACTATAATCAACTATAATTAATTTTTAACTATAATTAGTTAATAACTTTTACTTTAATCTGAGAGTACAGTTTCAGATTAATTATATTGTGGAATCAAAATTTCTTACTTAGAAAGTTGTTCGGTATGGAATAAGAAAAGGTTTTGAGTAAACACAGTGTATGATGGGGGAACGTATCAAATTAAAGATTATTTCTCATAACACAGCTGATGCTTTTAAAAATATAAATAAAATAAAGGTATGTATAAGTATAGTCTATACGCTTCTATTCAATATCTCTCATCAATAGCACATTGATTAAACCTCTTTCTTCTTCAAAATAGCAGAAAAAGTTTAATTGGAAAAGAACTTGTGAAAGGAAAATTATGCAGAGTGCTGAGAGAAATATAAGTTGCTTTAACATTTTTCATTTAATTTTTGCTACTTCTTTTCAAAGATACTCTCAAATCTTTTTTTTTTTTTTTCGGAATTTATATCAGCTACTTCTGAGTAAGAAATAAATAATAGCCTTATTACAGACAAATAAAAGAGATGCTATATTTATTTAATTCTGCGTTCTTATGGACCAATTAAAATGACTACCATGGCAACAGAAGATATTTAGATAAGGAGCAACAAACTGAGAAAAAATTGACAAAATCTTTATCAGAACTTCTGCATGATATCGTTACATCTTCTCATTCTAGTAGTTGGAAATTTTTATTTTTTAATGGTATAACTATGTTTTTACTCATTTACATGCATCGTCATCTGTGATAGCAAACATTATTAGTTGCGTTTTGAAAATAGCTCACTCATTGCAACCAAAACAATTGTTGCCTTATCCGTTGTAAGAAATTTAATTATTCAAAATATAAATTTTGTTTCATTATATTTTAGATAATAAAAATGTGAAGGAAAATCTTGTCCAATAATTCATTTTAATGATATATCGTTGTTTTGGTAAAATGAAAAGAAAATGTCCCATAATTATTAAACCCTAAAATAGAAAATATAGATGTCTAAATTGTTTTTTATAATTCATGAAAGCTACTGAAACAGCTGCCTCGTAAAATACTAAATTTCCTATTTGCACTGCAAATTGTTATAAGAACTCAAACTATGTAAATTGAAGTTCGTGTCACATTGAACTCCGATAGTATACTTTTATTCCATTCTTTCTGCTCGTAAACCTTATCTATCTTTAAGTAGCTTCAGAGTGAGAAATTTGATTTTTGCATGAGACAGAGAAATCAATGAACTTCTTCGATTTCCTGACTCCCTTTTAAAGTTCTATACTTGGAATTTGAAAAAGCAATGTGAATTTTTTGTTGCTTTAAGGGGTATCAGCAACGCTTATACCGATAATGTTAAATTGGCCATTTTCGATGTGCCTTCTCTCAAAATTTGATGTAGATACACGCTTGAAAGTTTTTGTGTAATTAAAGTATGCCTATCCGATTATACTGAAATGAGCTTTGAAACATTTTGAATTTTAGAGTAATTTACAGAATATTTTGTTAGGCATAGTAAAATTTAGCACTTTTCTGACACAAAAACATTTTGTAATTTTTTTTCTCAGTTTATCACAAAAAGATCATATCAGTAAATATTAGGAAACCTAACAAATAAACCATAAAAATTTTAGATACCTGTGAGCAGTAGTTTCTGAGAAAAGGTACATCGAGTACAAAATTAAGTTTGGAGAAAAAACGCTTTTTTGTGTGAAAACCATCATTGATCAAAGCATTCGATGAAAAATTAAAACTAGATTTTTTACAGTTCTAATTTTCATAGAGATTAAAGAATGGTATTTTTAGAAAGATAAACGTGTAGAGAATTTGAAAATGCAAAAATCTGAAATCACAATTTTTTTAAAAGTTTTGGGTTCCAACACCCTTAATAATATAGTATTTCTGTAATAATATGAGTAGTTAAGAAGTTATAGGGGAGTAATTTTGAAAAATGAATTGTTGTTCGAATTATCTAAAACTCAAAAAAATATCACACTTTCATTTTACCTCTAATAGACATATCCTGTTAGACGAATACTCAATTATTAAGTAGTAGAAAGGTAATGTGAAATATATTGCTTTACAAAAATGCTGAAAATGGTTATCATTTTCCACAGTTATTACCAAACCCAAAACGCGGCAAATGCTTCTCGATACTTAGCTTAAAATGCTGAGACATCATGCATTGCTGCAGTGAAGTTACTTAAGCAGGTTATATAGAGTGTTAGGACTATTTCTGTAAACTTCGTTCCTCTGGTAACCTCGTTAATAAAACTATGATGTATAGAAATTAGGCAATCGAAGAAGCCGCATGTTTTCAGACGTCAAGAGAGTTTCGAAGAACTCCAAAAGCAGCTCCGTTGTTTGAATCGATACATAATATATATAGATACATGATATATATAAGATCGATACATGATATATATAAGATCGATATATGATATACTGTTTAGCTAAAATCAACATTTACATTAAAGCACTTCCTTTGTCTAGTTCAACGTATGATAAATAGCGTAGGCATGCTAAAATCAACAAGTACATTGTACATTTTTAGGTATGGCCTAAGTTTTTCGATGATGTCGGCATAACGAAATGCAACAGCTGGACGTAAAGACAATAATTCATCTCCTAAAAATTGCAATAGTCAATAATTCATCTCCTAAATATTGCATTTCTCATTTTTATTATTTGAGTGTAAAGTTGCTCCTCATATTATGAGAATGAATTTTGATGCCTGTTATGAATGAACCTGTTATGCCTGTTAGTTGAAGGTCCCAAAATATGTCTTCTTATGTAAATTAAAAGTAATGTAAATGATGTCTCGTCGTACCATTTAACAGAAAAATGATTATGGATTCACTGATAATTCTTTTTTACAATATTTTATTTCAACAGTCACGTTCATAAATTTCAAGAACAATCATGTCGTGTAATAATTAAATGTCAAAAAACAAATTGTTTTAAATTATGTCGTGCCTTAGAATACTTTACACTTTCAAGCGATACACAAATCAAATTTGGTACAAAATAAAAGACTGCTTGCTATGAAAAAGAAAATATAGATATCTCATGACTGTTACCTAGCATTCCTATGGGAAACTGGAGGAAAATGGAACTATCCAGAATAGTGCCCACTACGGTCTGTGATGCTATCCAGACGTAGTTTTTACTAGTCAGTCCTAAATCCGTAGCTGCTGTCATTATTTCCTTAGCTTGGTCCCTTGTAGCAAAAAGAAGCATAATCCTTGCTTCACTGTCTGCTAAATCCTCAAGTTCATTCCGAATTTCATCTTTATTTTTTCCTTTTAAGGTAACGATATCCACTATTGTAAATCTGTAAAAACGTAAAGTAAAAAAAATTATATTAAATATATGAAACATTATAAAGGTATTTTATATATTTTGTAGCATATATTTTCATACACATTACACTATACAAAAAGTCTTAAACTAATAATATTAGAATGAAATTTAATTTGAAAAGCTATATAATGTAAAAAACGTTTAATGTTTTAAAACGGATTGTTAGTTAAATTGATATACAAAGTAGAATTAGAAGCGAAACTTGTCAACGTAAAAGATTAAATTTAGGGGAAAAACAGCTTTAAATTGGAGTTGATTTTGAATAAACTCGAGGGAGACGGAAATTTGAAGGAACTTTATCAAAACATTTTTGCTGCATGATCCCTCTCAAAATTAATAAGTTTCGAATTTTGTTTAAAATCTGAGCCAGTTTAAGATGCGTTCATTACCTAATTTTAAAAAGGTGCACGAAATGTTAACAAAAATTAAAAAAAAAAAAAAAAGTATCTAAAAGTCCTCAGTTTTACATTAAGCTCAAAAGGCCATTTTTTAACGTTTCATGTGTTATTTTTGTTTATTAAATATTCTTTATTCTTAAACCACATAAAAATCAATTCAAGACTAATATCACAAACTATTTAAAAACAACATATATTTAGAATTTTCGATAGACAGTCTCGCGCACTGGAGATAAAAGAGTTTCTTTTTTCCCTTTCACTCTTGCCATAACTCGCTTTGAAATCGTTGGTTTTGTAAATCGAAAATTCGTTACAGATTTGCAAAGTATGAAATAGATAATAAAACGAATTCGAAATAAGAATTTCGGGCTTCCAGGCGCATGCGGGTGGAGAATTATGTTATTCAAAATTTGATGGTCCTAGGTACCGTCGTTTTTTCACGATCTGAGAAAGCAGATTTTTCGTTATTTAACTTCTTTAAATATAATACAGGGCGATAATATTTAGTGGCAAAAATTTAAAAAGTGATACACCGTTTATAGTGAACCGACGCAAAATGTTGTTTCGAGACTAAGTCCTGCTGAGCTAACGTTCCTTTGGGCTAAAAATACATGATTAAGTTGTATTTAGTCATAAGTTCATCCTTCCAAGTTAAAAAAGATAATCAAATGGTGTAGATTATAAGTACAATAATTTTGGACACATTAAACCTTTCAGTAAAAAATACGCGAAATTTAAGTGTCTTACCAGCTAAGTATGAAAAAGTTGAAACATCTATCTATATATATATATATATTTTACATCTATATATATATATATATAGATATATATATATATAAGATGTAAAATATAAAAAAAATACGATGGCTTTGCTCTTTGCGAGCCAGCAACCATTAATTAATTTTCTGCAATTCAGGATCGTCCCCTCACCCAGTACCTTCTAGAACATTCGCACCTATTACATAACCTCCTCATATAAATGCTGCGTCATAAGTTTTTCTACATTTTTACACTCCTGAATTCTAGATATCATTTTGTCTAATACAGGAATTATATAGGAGGTGAGAGGTTCGAGTCTTTCATAAAAAAAAAAAAAAAAAAAAAAAAAAAAAAAAAAAAAAAAAACCTGTGATTGATACACACAAAAAAAAAAAAAAAAAAAAAACACAAAAAAAAAAAAAAAAAAAAAAAAAAAAAAAAAAAAAAAAAAAAAAAACAAAAAAAAAAAAAAAAAACAAAAAAAACAACAAAAAAAAAAACAAAAAAAAAAAAAAAAAATCAATAATTAACTGTTTTTTTTTTTTTTTTTAAAAAAAAAAAACGACAAAAATAAAAAAAAAAAAAAAAACAAAAAAAAAAAAAAAACAAAAAAAAAAAAAAAAAAAAAAAAAAAAAAAAAAAAAAACAAAAAAAAAAAAAAAAAAAAAAAAAAAAAAAAAAAAAAAAAAAAAAAAAAAAAAAAACGAAATATAAGATTAACCCAAAGACCCTACGACTGGAGAATGTACCACAATGTTGTGAAAGTGAGGCTCCCTAAATTAGGTGCTATGAAAAGCCCTTCTGATATTGACAAGGAGATTGATAAGTTTACTACATGTCTTAATGACTCTTACTATGAGGCCACCAAGGTTACTCAAAGGTCTTGTAAAATCGCTAAGATTCCAAGGTACATCAAATCTCTCATAGCCGAAAGAAAACAGGCTGCGAAGGAGGTATAATATCACCTGGGACCCAATTATTAAAACGGAGTTAAATAGGATCAGTAAGCATATTAAGCTTGAAATGCATAAATTAAAGTGTGAGGCTTGGAATGATAAAATGGAGGAGTTAAACTTAGACAGTGATGCCTTCTGGCAGTTTACAAAAAGAACGCATCATGTTAAAGAGGACGCATCAGTGTGATAGGCCAATTATTGCCAAACGGCGCGTGACTGCTTATTCAGATACTGACAAATGTCAGATTTTCGCTTCACATCTTGAAAAGCAGTTTTCTCCCAATCAGGACACCTTCGTAATGTTCATTTGGAGACCCAAGTCAGAATTAAAGTAGAAGAATGGGTAAGTGCTCCCACAGTTCTAAATGTCGATGGTTTAACTAATCCAAGAGAAGTTACGGATATTATCTCCAAATTGAACCTCAAGAAAGCTCCGTGTATTGATGTAGTTACGAACTTAATGATCAGAAGCCTCCCGCGCGGTGGAATCACAAGAGTCACTAGCATTTTTAATATTTGCATTACGTTATGCTACTTCCCGGACTGCTGGAAGTACGCAAAAGTTTTCCTACTACCGAAGCCTGCAAAGACATTTCACTAAGGCGGAGAATCACAGAGGCCCATAAGCTTGCTCTCTAATATAGGCAAGATCTTTGAACGAATAATTTTAAGGAAATTCCAGCCTTATTTACAGGTACTTCCGGAAGATCAGTACGGATTTAGGAGCGAACTTTAGCACTTCTAAACAACTGATTAGGCTTGTGGAATTTATCGGCTCTGCTCTGCATCATAAGAGTTGTACTGCAGTGCTCATGCTGGACGTGGCCAAAGCATTTGACCGTGCGTCTGGCATGAGGGCTTAAATATAAATTGAATAATGATGAATTTGCCTAGAGAACTGATCTTACTCACCCTGATCTTATATTGCAAATCGTTACTTTACAGTTAGCTGCAAGCAGAGTCATTCTGGATACAAAACTATCGCTGCAGGCGTCCCCCAGAAAAAAGAAAAAAGTCCTGTCTTGGCCCAGTACTCTATCTTTTCTATGCGGCTGATTTCCCGCGGGATAAACTCAACAGAAATACATTGCTGGCCTGCTACGCGGATGACACCGCTGTAGCGGTCAGATCTATTCAGCCTAACAGGGCAATTTCTGTTATGCAGGATATTATTATGGACATTGAGGAGTGGTGCTCCAAGTGGAAGATTTCCATCAATGCGACTAAATCACAGCTACTTTTTGTTAGAAGGAAGAAAATACTTGTCTCAGTTCAGCCACTTTACCTATTCGGCCAACGTGTCCCGATGGTAAACAAGGCCAAGTATTTAGGTGTTTACTTGAATCGAAGACTCACGTGGAGTACGCATGTCAATTACATTGCAAACAAGACCAGAGGAATTGCTCAAGCAATTACAAGTACTGCTAGGGCGCAGCTCGCAGTTAGATCTGAGAAGGAAAAGACGCAGATTTATATTTCCATTTTAAGACCAATTATGTGTTATGCGTCCCCTGTCTGGGCGACTGCTACGAGCTCAGATATCAACAAATTGCAGGTGACTCAAAACACAATCTTACGCACCATGACAGGAGCGCATTTTTACATCCGTAACAAACTCCTGCACGATGATTTACAAGTTGAATATATTGACAAATATCTGCAAAAACTTAACAGCAAGTTCTTTGACAAAGGTTTGAATTGCAGTAAAGTAAACTTTAATGCTGTACTGAACTATGTCTGCATTCCTGAGGACTACAATATCAGGCCTTTCACGGCTCACAGAATGAGGGATCACAATTTTGTCACTTAACCCACTCGTTTTTAAATATGTAAATAACACATTTTTATGCGTGCATTACTTCACTTTCATTTGTTTATTACATGTTCAACACTGTATCCTATGCACATTTCATGTATTTTCATTTCTTTTGGATCTTCATAGCTCCATACACGTGATTATTACTCTTGTCTCAGGGGTGAGAGTTAAGTTACTTTGATAATTGGACTTTGTCACTATGGCCGATGGGCCCTCTTTTCCTTACCCGCTCCGATTTCCCGGCTGGGAACTAGCTGATAGTTGACATTCTGATTGTCCTTAGGGGATTAGATCAATATAGCTTATTAAAGCCCAACTCGGCTAATATAAGCATAAGCAATTAGCATTTAAGCATTCTACATTTTTCTAGAAGCTACTCTGTTACATAACCTTTCATATAAATGCTGCGTCATAAGTTTCACAGATCTTCTCGCCTTTTGTTCCTGCTAACATCTTCCGCTATGCTCCTCTTTTTCTTTGTTAGAACGTTATGACGTATTAAAATTTAAAGTCAGTCGTATTTAATAGTTGCAATTACTGAATAAGTAATTTGATTAACTTCATCTGGAAAAAGTCATCTGTTCTAAATTAAAATAAAGATATGCTTGCTGTGAAAAGTGAAAAGTCCTGATTCGTCATTTTTCTCCGTCCTTCAATCATCCCAGCTTGGTCAACCATTCTGCCAGAACATGTAATGGAATAGCCTCACCATTCACCTTACGATGTGTTGGAATAACTGAAAACATTACAGTTATTAATTAGTCTGGACAGGATATATCCTCTACATGGGAAAAAAGCTCCTGGATTTATTTATAACCGCGCTTCTAAATTCAACAGTGGGTCAGGACAGTGTGTGATCGTCTGATGCTTGTGCATCTTTTCCCGCGATTCTCAAGTGCTTTCCCTCGTCTCCAAAGTTATGCGTTTTATCAAGTGCTTCTAAAGTGATTGATTTTAGTGTTCAAATTGATGTGTAAGCGAACTCTTAAATTCAAGATTTTGTGATTGGAATGCTAACACGCTCAAAAACGACAAAAATTTC